AAAGAAACAAACAATCAAACAAAGAAACAAACAATCAAACAAAGAAACAAACAATCAAACAAAGAAACAGTCAAACAAAGAAACAAACAGTCAAACAAAGAAACAAACAATCAAACAAAGAAACAAACAATCAAACAAAGAAAGAAACGGTCCCGTGTGTCCGTGTGTCCCCAGGAAGAGGGAAGCAACTCCCCGGAGGAGCCCATCACCTCCCAGCCTATCCCTATGGGCGGCGGCTCCAAGCTGGAGGACGAGGAGGAAGAGGACGTGGACGAGAAGACCAACATCAAGACCTCTGGCCAGCCCACGTACGGCGCAGACGTCGTCGCAGCCCCACCCCCGCCCTCGGCCGGCGGCGACGACACCAGCGCGGCTCTCACTGCCAGCAAGGAGTGATGATCCCAGACACAAGCCAGACTGCTCAACCCAAGAACACAGGGGGGGGGGGGATCTTGTAAACGTGGTAGTGTTGTCGTTGTTATTGTCGCTGTTGTTGCTGCCAGTGTCTGTTTTATTCCAGGGGTGTGGGTGGTTGGTGGGTGCTCTGGTGTGATCTGCTCCTTCTCTCCCCTATCAAACGTCTATTTTCCTTATCTCCCCTCCTCCACCTTCTTTGTTGGTGTTTGTTTCTCTTCGACACTTATATGACCTTATTGTGTTGCAAGTGCCGTAAAACTCTTACTTACTAAAACAAAACAAATTCCAGGGGTGGTGAGATGAGAGCGTTGCTGGCCCAACAGAAAGTGGGGTGGATTCTGGACTGTCCAGAAAGTGGGGTGGATTCTAGAGTGTCCAGAAAGTGGGCTTGATTCTAGACTGTCCAGAAAGTGGGCTTGATTCTAGACTGTCCAGAAAGTGGGGTGGATTCTAGACTGTCCAGAAAGTGGGCTTGATTCTAAACTGTCCAGAAAGTGGGCTTGATTCTAAACTGTCCAGAAAGTGGGCTTGATTCTAGACTGTCCAGAGGGTGGGGTGGATTCTAGACTGTCCAGAAAGTGGGGTGGATTCTAGACTGTCCAGAAAGTGGGGTGGATTCTAGACTGTCCTGCGCCTAGCGCTGGATGTTGTTGCGCTGTGAGGTATGCGCTGTACAGCTGCTGTTTCTTCCTGTGAGCACGTCGGTGACACAGATGTCACTGGGTTGCTGCTTTGGCTTTGGGATTGTTGTATTGGGGGGGGGGGGGGGGGGTTATTTCAGGGGAAAGTACTATATAATAAGTTTTGCCACAGGAAGCAAAACAGCAGACTTCTCTACCTTGTGGCCGGGGGTCCAATTTTACGGAGAAGAGAAGTCTATTATCTGGCACAGAGTTCCTGTTCTGATCTACGATTGGTGGATAGAGATTGGGGAAGATTAGATGGGTCGTACTTATTGTTTTTATATGGGAAACACTTGGAGGTTTTGAGGGGGGGGGAGAGAGAGAGAGAGAGAGAGAGAGAGAGAGAGAGAGAGAGAGAGAGGGGGGGGGGGGTTTTTTTTTTTTGGGGGGTGTTTGTTTGTGGCTTGCTTCATGCAGCCCCACCTCCAGCGCCCCAGCCCGCGTGTGATGTGATTCTAGTGTGAGGCGCCTGGCATAGATTGTAGTACAGTAGAACAGACGGTTATAGATCTACTATCTCTATATAGTATCACTGTAAGGTATAGATCTACTATCTCTATATAGTATCACTGTAAGGTATAGATCTACTATCTCTATGTAGTATCACTGTAAGGTACAGATCTATCACAGTAAGCAGAAAGAAGGTTTGATGGTAATGGCGTGGTGTTGCCCTAATGTCAACGTCGTTCGGAGATTGATGCAAGCTTAACTTCTGTCATGTCACTGGGAATTGTGGTGTGGACTCAAATGCTGAATCTTTGCCTTAACCCTTTATCTCCCAGGGGGGGTCACTCACTATTCTGGGATCCTTTTGGGGGGGGGGGGGTAACTAAATCTAAAAATGACGGAAACGTCACTAAATTGGTGATTAAATCGAAACAAATGAACCTATTTCGATAGTCCTTCATCTAATGAATGAACTCCCGATAAAAGAGACCTGTTTGTGGCAATTGACGAAAAGTAATTGATGTTGAAGTCGTGGTAAAGGGATGTGCCCGAGCCGCTGTCAGCGACTCACCGACACAGGGGTTCCGACCGCGAGTTGCTGGGTATGACTTGTCGGTGATAAAGAGTTAAGTTGATGAAGGGTTAAACTACTGGACATATCATGACATCAGTGAAGATCTGTATACTGATGGCTTATGCTTCCTTTTTTCACTGGAAAGCAACGCATCACAAATAATGTTGTTTGTATTATGTTTCTTTTATTATTATTGTCATTTTTTAAAAAAATTATTTCTATTATTATCATCATTATGAGCACATTTCTGATTGTATGCACGTTGAAGAATGAAATCATAATATATAGTATATATATATGAAATGAATACGTACTTTAGGAATATGAAGACCACATTAGAAAATGTATGAAAATCATCCAAGTGAAAATGGTTGAGTTACTGGGCTGAGCGTCTGCTCTAGTTCCCTACTGGAGGACTTTGGCGTGGCGTGGCGTCGTGTGTGGCTCTTGTTCACATTTCTGAGGCACACCTGACCTCCCATTTCTGTGTGGGTTTTTTCCTACGGCAGAACCTTGCTAGGAATCCCTCTCTTTGTTCTTCTTGAATGCCAGTATTACTTATCGTAAAGGATCTAAAAATACATGGGTTTATTTGCGTTCTTTTACAATATATCTGTGCGACTTGTTAGAAATGAGGTAAAAGTACACATTTTTATTGACATGCGTTTGCCAATGTGGCCGCGGCAGGCTTGAGGCTAGGTTTGGCCAGTATTTTAGCCTCAGACTTTCCAGCTGCGCTGTCATTTATGGAACAATATATGTGTGTGTGTCGCCACGCAATGGAGTCAGGCGCTTGGCATTTTGGGGCATATATCGTGATATTGGTGTCATCTTAAGTAAGTTAAAGCTTGTTCGTTTGTCTTGCTTTTGATGGAAAAAATGTACATCTTTCCGATATAGAAGTTGAGATCTATAGAAGCTGAGATATTTGCGATGAGATCTAGAAGTTGAGATCTAGTAGTTGAGATATTTGCTATGAGAGGAGGTGAAGGAGGTGGGGTCACTTGGTGTCAGAGCGAGGTGTATGGAGGAAATGGCCTCCAAAGTTGACGGACTTAACGAAGCTTGAGTGTCCAGGGAAACACATTTGTTTTCCTTTGATGGACATTTGTCAGTAAGATCCACTCAGTCTTTGTGTTTTGTATGGACAGGAAAGGTGTGGAGGGGGAAAAAACAAATAGATAAAACAATTGTCCAACAGTGAGAAACGTAGCAACTACGGGTTTCTCCAAAGTCCGTATTTTGCTGCACGTCTGATGTCCCCTCTATGCCTGGCAGCATGATGTCCCCACTCTGCCTGGCAGCATGATGTCCCCACTCTGCCTGGCAGCATGATGTCCCCTCTATGCCTGGCAGCATGATGTCCCCACTCTGCCTGGCAGCATGATGTCCCCTCTATGCCTGGCAGCATGATGTCCCCTCTATGCCTGGCAGCATCATGTCCCCTCTATGCCTGGCAGCATCATGTCCCCACTCTGCCTGGCAGCATCATGTCCCCACTCTGCCTGGCAGCATGATGTCCCCACTCTGCCTGGCAGCATCATGTCCCCTCTATGCCTGGCAGCATCATGTCCCCTCTATGCCTGGCAGCATCATGTCCCCTCTATGCCTGGCAGCATCATGTCCCCTCTATGCCTCGCTGCATGATGTTGTCACTTTCCGTCGTCGTTGTTGTCTGTTCTCGCGGGGTACTTCATTGGATTTTCTGTCTGTTTATTTCTGATTTTGTGAAATAAAAAGAGTATGTATCTGTTGATATATTATAATACATGTATATCTATCTATCTATATATATATACAAAATTTAGACATAATGATTGTTTCTTTTGAGCTTTCAAGCTTGGTCACTGGTGAGTCGTCGTGTTCTTTTTTGTGCCATCATTTTCTGGTTTTGTTTTTGGCTTTTTTATACACCTTTAAGATTTGTTGTACATTTTGTTGTTGTTGTTGTTTTGTACATTTTGTTGTTGTTGTTTTGTACATTTTGTTGTTGTTGTTGTTGTTTTGTACATTTTGTTGTTGTTGTTGTTGTTGTTGTTGTTGTTGTTGTTGTTGTTTTGTACATTTTGTTGTTGTTGTTGTTGTTGTTGTTGTTGTTGTTTTGTACATTTTGTTGTTGTTGTTGTTTTGTACATTTTGTTGCATGCGTTTTCTCTGGTGCTGTTTTCTCCTCCTGTTTTCTCCTCCTGTTTTCTCCTCCTGTTTTCCGAACAGAGCCCGTGGGTTGTCTCCTCTTTCCTATCAAACATCTTTCGTCCTTGTCTCTCCTCCTTCTTTCCTATCAACATCTGTCGTCTTTATCTCTCCTCCTTCTTCCTTATCAACATCTGTCGTCCTTATCTCTCCTCCTTCTTTCCTATCAAACATCTTTCGTCCTTGTCTCTCCTCCTTCTTTCCTATCAACATCTGTCGTCTTTATCTCTCCTCTTTCTTTCCTATCAACATCTAACGTCTTTATCTCTCCTCCTTTTCTTTGAATGTTACTCTCTAGTAACACCTCTAATCTTCAGCACTTATACGACCTGATTGTGTTACAAGTGCCATAAAAACTCGTACTGAAACCCGAGGAACTTCTTATTGGGGGACTTTGATCCCAGCTTGTGACGGCCGGCGGGTGGTTGGAGGGTGTCACTGGTAGGTCCTACTTCTTTACTTTCCCCTCTGTTGTTTCTGTCTGTCTGTCTGTCTGTCTGACTTTTTCCCAGCACTAAATGACCGTTATTGTCTTGATGTGGTTCTCTCAAACTAACTAACAAACAGACTAACTAACAAACTAACAAACAAACTAACAAACAAATGATGACATTGGGCCAGTTGAACCAGGGGAAGTCTTGCTAGTGAACACGGACCTGACAGATGAGTGTACTTCGCTTTGACTTACACAATTACAGGCCAGGCATTTGTGTCTGTGCCTAGAGAAAAGTACCGACAGTTGGATGTTGACCATTTGGAGTGAATGCTGAATACAGGGGTTTTAATTTTTGAGATGTCTCAAGTAGTTATTGAGATATTGCACATTTTGTGAGGTAGGGTATAGAGATCTAATTTTGAAAAAATTAGCTTTTAAGTTTAGGACACATATAAACTTGAAAAAATGGATGATTCAATTGTTTTTCATGTATTTATTCATGGAAACTTCATTTCCCATGTGGCATTCAGGTGACATCAATGTCATGATGAGAAATCTATGGTAGCCTACAACAGCAGGGAAGAGGCAACATGCTTCAACAATAGATTTTAACACCTTCTAAAAGTAGTGTTCATTATATCTTTTTAATAAATGCCCTTGTCTCAAAATTATTCCAAATAAAATATTTAGAAGTAGAAGTCAAATCAATGTAATTGGGTAATTATCAGCCTGTAGCTCCAAATCCAAATGGTCTGTGGCCACTTTTGGTAACTTTCTTGAGGCGCACACACACACGTCTCCCTCTCTCACACACACACACACGTCTCCCACACACACACATGTCTCCCTCTCTCACACACACACACACACACGTCTCCCTCACACACACACATGTCTCCCTCTCTCACACACACACACGTCTCCCTCACACACACACACACATGTCTCCCTCTCTCACACACACACATATCTCCTAAACTATCGAAATGCGTGTTTGGGGCTTAAAAAACTTGTTGAATGTTGTTTCTTCACTGGTCTAGTCAGTCTTCTCTCCGGCTGTTCCCACAATCTATGTACGTGTGGTGTATGTGGGAACTGAGCAGTCTGGAGATGCACCGATCTCTCCCTGGGTTTTGTTTTTTTGTTTTATTTAATCGCACGTTTTGTTTGGTTTCTATTTTCTCTATTTTGTTGACCGTCCATTCTTTTGTAGATGGCTGTTGTTTGTTGCTGATTGTTTTTGTTATTGAAATTGCTCATTTTCTTTGTCATTGTTTGTGTTTCCAGATTGACTTTTGTATTTATTCAGTTTTGCCTTCCTTCCTTGTTTTTGTTTGGGTAATTGTCATTTAGTTTTGTTGTTGCTTTGTGTGATTGAATCACCTTATGTTGAGTTTTTGAGCATATCAGTTTGTTTTGAAGTTTCCTTTCGTTCGTTTTATTTGCCTACAAGC